ATCTTGCTCTCTTACTCTTCTTTCTACAATCTATAGCTGTGGCATGCATGCAGTAGTGACTAGTGGATGCACCAGGAGTTAGTGCAAATGAAATCTATGACTAGGCCTTCGTGACGAAGGGGCGGAGCTCACTGAGTCGGACTCAGTGAGTCCACGTCCATGGACTCAATCAATGGATTTTACATAGGTCCCTGGTTCAATCCACGGGTAGGACATTTCTCCGTCATTAAAGGTTTTCGTGCATATCTCGTCGAGTTGAGTTCGTATAATCGAGTTTTCCGATTTATGCCTACACCTCGGCATTCAGAGGAGTCGTTTGATCTATCTGGTAGCCTCCTACGCTTCGTAGTTAAGCCATAATAATTCTGCACGCACGCACGCACGCACGCACAACGCGAAAGTGCCTGTTGTTGCGGGATTATACCGCCGGTATATGCTCCGCTCGTTTCGCTCGCTCCGCAATTGGTCGAAGCAGACCAAGGTCTCCGAAATCGGTAGCAATTCTGCCGGATGAAGCAGTCAAGGCTCTAACTAGTACGAATCCTACAGCGACACGTTGGATCGAGAGATCAGGAACGTTGCGTCAATGGCCACCTGCTTAGTGTTGAGGTACGATAACCTCCTGTTGATGGTAGAAGATGTGACCACTTTGACCGAAGAAGCGGGAATCTATAGTGACGATCAGCCTGGGTCGGACTAAGTCTAAACGAGGTGAGAGAAACAAGGTGCAAGCCGCTGTACACCTGCGAGAAGGCTTCCTGTATGGCCCATTGCTTGCACAGAGCGAAGATGAGAGGCCCAGAAGAAACACGGTGGTCACCGAGAGTGTCATTGATGAATACTAACCAGTTTGGCCAGGTTTTCAGGACAGCAATGAAGAGGTGCCCTCTCTAAGGTGGTTCTCGACGAAGGTGAAGGGTTGGAATCTATCAGCCAGGCTATCAGCCTGGCTGATAGCCTGGTTTCAATTGCTGGCATAGCCGGGTGATAGCCTGGTTTCAAGTGCCCGATTCAGATGTGATGACGTCACTGAGCAAAGAGCGAATGTACAGATCTTCTGCGTGAACTTCCGAGCATTCTGTCGCAGATGATATCTGAGCCAGATTATCTGGCAGATATCGGCAGAACCTGCTTGCATTCTATCCATCATCCCCGAGATATCGAATTGAATGCAACGGAAACAACGCCAGTGAATGGAGAGTAACTGTAAATATTTAATGCGAGAGAGTAGCACTTGTCAAGGCTGTTGCGTGCCACGGTACTGCCAGACACTGGGTCCTTGGTTGCGCATCCAGCGACTCGAAAGTGTGCATTCTAGGCACTGCCTGGATAGTTGCCTACAAAGTTGACAAATGAGAAACGCGTGCGTGACGTGACCCAAAATTTGCGAAAGTAGTAGACTACTATTTGCGTCGAAAATAGTCCTGCTCGAGATGTGTAACCTACTGGCTGAAGACCGAACACTGCTTTGGCCATAATACCCCTGCGGTCACTGATTCTTTCCGCTTCATCGACCATGACTTGACCCCAGAGCATTGCGTGAGAGCCA